CTCTTCCTGTTAGAAAATCTAAGTCTGTAAATGCAAAATATAAAGAAAAATACTCAAGGAATTCAAAGATGGCTTCATAGGGAGAGGGTATTTAAAGAATGGATACATTTGTTTTCTTTGGAGATTGGAAAAAGTAATTTATTCCACAAGAAGGCAACAGCATTAACTAAGACACATTCATGTCATATTTATCAGACTATCAACAAGGGTGCCTATTGGAGAATATTGAGAAATAAGATGGGAAATTTAGTGTGAGGAAAAGATCATGAAAGATTGTAAAAGCTGGACAAAAGAAATTAACATGGTAGAAAATAAGGAATCATGGAAAGTTTCAAAGAAAGAAAGATTGTATGATTAAAGCAGTATTGAGCAAATTGTGCCTTAAGGAAAGTAATATTTATTATAATATTGTAATTCAAATAATATTGGGGGTGTCATTCTCTAGGAGTTAGATGTACAGGGAAAAGACGACCCAGCTTTGGTCACTGAGAAGCATAATGGTGAAGAGAGTAAATAGTTAAATACAGTGCTATGGCCACCACCTGGGATAGTGTGAAAGAACCAGTTGGCATATTTAGCTTACCAGAGAGAGAAGACCTTCTGGAGAACATGACATCCAACAGAGATGACTAGCAGTCTAGGCAGAGGTTAGAAATTTAGAAGAGGCCATATATGTCTCTGCCTAGAAACAGGGGCAAATCTGTGGAGCACATGAGCAGTTTCTCATGGCTAAAGTGAGGTAAACAGATGCGGAAAAAATTTTCTTTTTTTTAATGTTTTTTTTCTTTTTTTCATAATTTTATTGATAAATAGCAATGAGACAGTTTCAAATCAAATCGCTAGGACAGTTTCAATAACTAACACACTGCATACATTCTTCTTAGTGGTTAATTGCTGTACAAGATGCGGACTTGATATCCTATTTACAAACACCACTAGAACAAATCATTCTATTCATTAGCAGAATGTAACTATATATCTATCCTAACCACTTTGAATACACAGATACAAAATGGACATTCATTGTATACCCTTTTTTTTGTTAAGTTCCATTATTCGAATATTATAGGTGTGTAAACTCAGCAAAATATTCTAAAAGAGTCCAGTAGCCCATAATGGCATTGGGTCTTCTGTTTAACTGGCATTGTCAGCAGATGTGGAAAAATTGAGAAGTTCCCAGGATAAGAGTGAGCAGGCAGGACGGACCTGATCTATGCTGTGATGATTGAACTGTGTAACTAGAGAGTTGAAAGTGGCTAGAGCTTCAAATTTGAAGGTCTTATTCATATCTTACTAGTTGTAAAGTAAAAGTGGATGAGAGTGAGGTCTGATTAGAAGCTAGGAGACAGCTGGGAAATTCTTGTAATATTCTAGCTATGAACTAAACTAAAAAGCACTGGCGTTCAAGAGTAATGGACAGTTTTGAAAAATATTAAATATGGCTTGGTGAATAAGGAAGGAGTAAAATGTAAGCCTGAGTCAAATCTTTACTGCAGATAAATGTGTCAAGAGAGAAATGTCTCATATTTTGTGTGACTTCAGCTCTTTAAAAAGTATAATTATAGAATTTCTTTATTTGAAATGAGAATTTTATGTCTTTAAATTATAACTTTTCTTTCCCTGTTTCTCTGAAATTTGCAAATATAAAATGTACATCTCTCCATTAATTATTTTTCTGGATGTTTTAAGAAGCTGCTTTTAATTAGGACATATGTGCAGTTCTTGAAATCACAGAAACCATACCACGTTTTCTGACTGCACTATGTCCTCTTCATATGACAATAAAGAGAAAATTGTGTCAAGTAAAATAAGTAAGTGGCTTAAGAACACCAAAAGAACTGATGATTCAGAACATTATCAGACAGGGAACAAGCTGAAGAGACAAGAACTTTAAGTTCCATTTTACCTCTACTATGAGATGATTTTGTCTTCCTGGACAGTTTAAGTAAACTGCCTCTCAATTTTCTTTCTTTCTTTCTTTCTTTCCTTCTTTCCTCTCAAATTTATTCCTGGTAAAAATTGTAAATTCTTTATCATGAAAAATGCTCTGGACAATTTTTTTTTTAAAGCATTTATTTATTTCTGTGTGGCCAGCTCAGCCCACCAGGGGGCGCGGCTGGCTGGCTGGCTGGCTGGCATGTGGTGCTGGGGGATTGAACTGCGGTCCCTGTGCTTTGCTAAGCTTGTTCTAAGTAAGTGCTTTAGACCACTGAGCCATCTCACCAGCCCCTGGACAATCTTTTAAATGTAAATCAACATTTTAAGTGTAAACCAACCTCTCATCCACACATACACAGATTCATAGGTGTACAAATTTAGAATAGGTATAAACAAAAGAGGGGAGCCACTCTCTTCCTTTCTATTAACCATAAACATTGCACTATGCTAATGATTACCCATGCTTTCATAATCCTAAAATGGAAATTGTGTGAGCCAACTCCCTCTTCTCCTTTCAACCATAAATTCTACACCACCATAATGATTATTTAGGCTTAAATTTAGGAGGTCTCACAGGTTGTGGACCTCAGTAAAGACAGGTTGTGGTAGGCACCTAGAACAAGTGGATTCCTAACCCTATTAATATTGGAAGCCTGAGTTATGAAGCCCTTTTTTGCCCACTTGACCCTTCTGGTGTTTTTTGCTGCTGCCCCAAAATCTTCAATAAGCTTACTACAAGGTGTATATGTGGTAATTCTTTCCTTGTCATAAACAAGAATCTGGACCATTTTGGTCTACTCAAAGAGTACTGATAGATATTCTAGAAAGACACAGAAGTGATCACAGCTTCCAGAACAATAGAAAGGAACCACCAAACAGAGCAAGTAATTAAAAAAGGGGAAAAGTATGGAACCTATAGCAAGAAAATAACATGACAAAGGTAAGCCAATAGATATCAGTTATAATCATCAATGTGAAAGGCCTCAATTCACCAATCAAAAGAAATAGACCAAAAGAGTGTATTAAGAAACAAAATCCAACAACATGTAGCATATAACAAACAACATAAGGAAACTCACAGACTAAAAGTCGAAGGATGGAAAGTAATCCTCCAAGCCACTAGAAATCAAAATAAAGCAGGGGTAGCTATTCTGGTTGCTGAAAATATCAACTTCAAACCAAAAATCATTCAGAGGGATATAGAAAGTCACTACATGTTAAGGGAAAACTGCAAGAGGAAAAGATAACAATTATAAAGATATATGTACTCAATGCAGGAGCACCCTACCCACATAAGGCAAATTTTAACAGACATGAAAAATTAACTGAGCTATAATACAATAGTAATGGGGGACTTTAACATGCCACTGTCACAAAGAGATAGATCAATTAGGCAAAAGAATCAGCAAAAAAAAGTTAATAGAACCAAACCAAACTTGTGAAGAAATTGACCTGGTAGACCTTTTCAGAGTTTCACCCAGCAACAACAGAATACACATTCTTCTCACCTGCATATGGGACAGTCTGCAAAATAGACCATATACTAGCACACAGAGCACTCTCAAGTAAATGCAAAGGAATTGAAATTATCCTATGTATACTAACTGACCACAGTGCAATAAAACAGGAAATATTGACAAAAGAAATTACAAAAACACCATAAACACATGGAAATTGAATAACCTCCTAAACAACAAGTTGGTTACCGATGAAATTAAAGAAGAAATTAACAAAAACTTACAATCAGATAAAAATGCCGATACAACCTACCAAAACATGTGGGATGCAATGAAAACTGTCTTAAAATGAGAATTCATAGTGATAAATTTGCAGATTTTTTAAAAAACGGAACAAACCTAAATAAATGATCTAACCCTCAACCTCCCAGAAAAAGAAGAGCAAGTCAATCACAAAGCTTAAACAAAGCAGGAAATTAGAGTAGAAATTAATGCATTGGAGAACAAAAAAAAAAAAAAATCACTACAAAGAGTAAAAGAAGCAGTTTGTTCTTTGAAAGAATAAATAAAATTGATAAACCCCTAGTGAACCTAACTAAAAAAAAGAAAGAAAAAAGAAAAAACTCAAATTCATTCAATAAAGAATGAAAAGGGTAAAATAGAGAATTTCAGAAGATTATCAAGACCTATTTCCAAAATCTTTACTCTCACAGGATGGAAAACATGGAGGAAATGGACAGTTTCCTAGATACATGCAAAATGCCAAAGCTGAGTCAAGAAAATATACAAACTCTGAATAACCCAATAACAAGAAATGAAATAGAAAATGTAATTTACAAAACAAAACAAAAAACACTTACCAACAAAGAAAAAGCCTAGGTCCTGATGGATTCGCAGCAGAATTGTACAAGAAATTTAGAGAACACTTAATGCCAACTTTTTTCGAACAGTTCAGTGAAATTGAAAGTGAAGTAATTCTCCCAAACTAATTCCTGGACATAAGTATTACATGGATTCCAAAACCAGAGAAAGATCCTACTAAAAAGAATTACAGGCAAGTCTTTCTCATGAATATAAATGAAAAACTCCTCAGTAAAATACTAGCAAACAGAATGCTGCAATTCATCAAGAAGATTATATGTCATTATCAAGTAGGCTTCCTCCCAGGAATGCATAGATGGCTTAACATATGCATATCCATAAATGTTATATACCACATCAATAGAACCAAGAACAAAAACCCACATGATCATCTCAATAGATGCAGAGAAAGATTTTGACAAAATCCAACATTCAACGATGATAAAAACCCTATAGGGAATGTCAATAGATGGACTACATCTCAACATGAGAAAAGCCATCTATAAGAAAACAACAACCAACATCATACTAAATGAGCAAAAACTGAAGGCCTTCACTTTAAAATCAGGACCAAGACAAGGATATCCACTTTCTTAACTCCTGTTCAATATAATTCTGGAAACATTAGCCAGAGCAATTAGACAAGAGAGAGAAATGAATAAAGACTGAAAAAGAATAAGTGAAATTGTCATTATTTGCCAATGACATGTTGCTCTACATAGAGCACCCCCAAACCTCCACAAAGAGTCTTGTAGATGATAAATAAAATCCTTTATTCATTTTGATGAGAAAAAAAAATAGCAATGGATCAGTTTCAAAACAGGTTAGTGGGACATTTACAATAATTAATACATTACACATTGTCTTCATAGTTATTCAGAGGACAAGATGTAGACATGATACCTTATCTAAACAATATTAGTACAAACCTTTCTTCTCATTGAATTAACAGAAAGTAGCTATATGTCTATCCTAACTATCTTGTATATACATTTTTTCCCACTGCAAAACAGTACTTTATATACCCTTTTTTGTTTTGTTTTGTCAGAGATGGGTGTTCACTGCAGTTAGAGAAGCTGTATTTGGAGAAATCTTTAAAGGACCTTTTCATTCAAGAAGTCAATCTAAAGATTGTAGGTACTTGAATTCAGCAAAATAATCCAATATAGTCCAATAGTCCATAATAATGGGTTGTTAGCCAAACTGGCAATTGTCAAAAGTTGTTGACTTGAGCCTTCTATAGCTCAGTATATTAATACGGAATTACTTTTTATACCTTACAGTTATTTTTTTCTGCTGGATTGTTAAGACCAAGTTAAAGCAAGACCTATATAACTAAAAATTTAACTTTTTTTTTTCTTTTTTTTTTTTTTTT